ATTCTGCATCAACCCCAGTGAAATTCTGACAATCGGCCCAGCACGGATGTATTACTCATTTAAATAACTCAAAGGAACTTCTGTCGGCCACCATCAGTGTGAGGCAGAAATAGTGCACTTTGCTGTGTAACAGCTGGATCTTTCAGCTAATTTCTCTAAAAAAAAAGAAAAAAAAAGACTATATTCACATTTTAATTTATCCAGCTGTGTAAATCCAGCATGATTTGATTAGTATTTTTATCAGTATAGATAAATCCTGGGGGGCAGCTTCCTGGGTGAAAACAAACAGCTTCAAATGGAGGTTTATTGAAATACTTTTCCTTTGTTAGGATTGTGTAGATATTGTTCCCATTACTAACACGGCTGATTGTGTCCTTGTTGTAGTCTTTTTTGCTTTTATTTAAACAAAGCAGCACCTGTACAAGTTCTCTCCATACGTTACACAACCATTTAGCATACACACACAGACACAATCCCGTTTGTGCACTATTTATTTGTAGATTTACTGAATGCAACATTGACCAAATATAGTAGCAGCACTCAGAAATAAGTACGTTACATAGTTGATTAAATCAGAGTAGAAATCTTATTTTGTGGATATATTCTGTAATCAGTAACCAAGATTGTTTGAACGATGAAAACCATCTTAATGAAATGACTGATTCAGAGGCCAATTACCAGTCAAAGTTTGGGTGAGAGATTATAATTTAAAAAGGGAATAAAGACAGTAAATGTGCACATGGATATATTGCTCTTAGAGACACATATAACCTTACAAAACATCAGATATCACTGATTTTGGGACAGTCAAAAGTGTCTTTTACTTTAGCCTTCCCCTGCTTTGTGTGAGAATTGTGTTAATTCTATTCCATTTTATATTTTCAACGTAAAAGCCTTTAAAGCTATTCGATTCAACAAGCAAAAAACGCACTGTGACTTTAACTGGACAGCTTTATCAAGACAAAGTAAAGCAAACTTCTCTTCGACTTTACAACTGTTGCATTAACCCAATTGAAGAAAATGAGAAGTTGTTAACATCTTTAAATGAGATAAATCTGTCAAAGTTAATGTAAACAAAGTAAAAGCATTTGTTAATGAAAAAAACTTTCCCCCGACAGCTCTCTGCAGTCCTGGACGGTTAATGTTTTGAGAGGCTAAAACCGGCTTCCTTTCATTTTATAAGACATAAATAAGCCCGTTCCTTCTCTCCTGAGTTTGCCAGTTCCTGTTATTTGTCCTTGAACCGAATGAATGCAAACATTTCTGTAAGGACGGAAGTTAATTTTAAAACTTTTTATCTTTTACACAATAAGAAGCCTTTTCTCTCCACCTAGCAGCAGAGTTTTTTTCATCTAAACTTGAGAAAAACATTTGATATAAGTGTCATCTCTGACTCAGAGAGAGACCAAAGCAATTACAGGCCAATTCTTCATACACAGATATATCAGGAGGAAACTTTAAGTCTTTTTTCAGACACCTCATCATGAAGCCCAGTTAGGAAATATGATAAATAAAGAAATAAACCAAGACTCAATTAAAAAAGTTGGCCTTAAAGTACTAGAATCTACATTTTAAACTCGTGAGATGGACTCCTGTGTGAGGATCTGCTTTCATTAAACCAGAAAGCGATCAAAAGAAGAAACCTGCACTCAAACACATCACTGAGGATCTGGCCAGGACCCACAACACCAGTAACCCCCCCCCAGTTAACGTAAATACCCAGAGGGGCCAATTTGTCGGTGAGGGAAATGCATATGAAGATTTGGCTGAAAAGAAACACTGGCTCTTACACCTTTAAGTCCACGAGGGTAGCAATAGAAAGGTTGTGGATATGAATATTACTCAAATCCTCAAGCAAATGAGAGAAGATGTATGACTTATTTCTTATAAGGAAATTAAACCAAGTCCTTTTCAGATATGGAAAAACCATCATACTCTCATTATTACAATTCATTATTTGTATTCAAACTCATGAAATTAATAGAAAAAAACTTCACTGTTAAAAAAAAAGAGCCTTTTCTTTTCTTTTGTATAAATTATTTCTGTGTTTGATGGTAGCTGTATACAAAAAAATAAAGGAATAATGTTTACCGCTGTGTTGCATAATTTCCACAATTGCTTTGCAGCTAGGGGGAATAATTTGTTGTAATATATGTCATTTAGCAAAATATTTCATATTTGTGCTGGATACATGTATCCCTTGGGAACATTTCGGGACGTCTTTGTGGCTTTTTATTTCATGATGTGCACCAGTGATGCTATTCTGAGGTAAAACATGCTAAATGGAGCCAAGACATTGGACCTTTTGTCCCTGACATAAATTCAAGTGCATTTTCCTACAGGAAACATTTCCAATCTGTACACGATATGTTTATTAAAGTCACTAAAATCAGGACCGTTTGTATGCTTAGTAAGATAAAACTGCCATGTAGATTTTTTTTGTCCCTCCAAATATTGCTGTATGCTCTTTGAATGAACATAACCACATACTATTTTACTACATACTATTCTAAAACTCCAATACAACATAAGAATTCTTTACAATTGAAAAAAAAATAATGTTATTAGTGACATTTTTTATCCAAATTGGAGGAATCAATCTAGAGTTTCTGAAAAATGAAAAAAAGATCATCTAAAGGCTTGGAATAACCAAACAATATTAAGTTATGATTATTCTATATGCAGCATAATCTTATCGTCCATAAGAAGCTGCCTGGTGATGGGAATGCAGCCCCCCC